CTGTGATTTGAGATTTGAAAAGTTATAGATGCCATGGCTTTAATTGGAAAGAATAAATTTCATGGAGATCTGGGTTTAAAAAAAGAAAAGAAAACAAATTTTCAACTCTTTCTTCGGAATTTGGTACCTTTTGCAATGCAGATCTCTCCAACGTTGAACTGATTTCCTAAGTGGAAATAGGACTGGTTTGTGGAGAGCAGAGGGAATGTTAACATTTTGGGCTGTGATGTAATATATATAGTATGTTAAATGTGAGTTAATCAAACACAGATGTGATCTTTGTATAACTGGCTGCAGAGGGTTAAACTGTATTATAGTTAGTGTACTAGGTTGGGTCACAAAACATGTTAAGAAAATTCTGGGTTCCCCAATCAATAAATTACACAATCATAATTTAGCCTGGCATTGACTCCATGTAGTTTGCCTTGTCCGACCTCAAAAGGTGAAGTAGGAATGGACTTAATACTCGGATGGAAGGCTCCAAAGAAATAATAAAACTGATTATTATATTTTATTAAGAACCGAAGAAAAAACTTGGAAGAAAACTGGCAAAAAAAATCTGCATTTCAGAAAAATTATATGGATCGCTCCATCAAATCACCAGAATTCAAGCGTAGTTTTGCACATTTCACTTTCCCTAGCAGAATGTGCCAATCAAGCTATGTTATAATTTTAATTCTATTTTGTGTTGGCTTGACATTTAAAATAAGAACTGAAAAATAAAAACTATTTGAAGTGTTTTAATAACACTTCAGTGTAACATTTTTATTCATGGCATTTAATTAAACATTCTGATTCTAGGATAATCCAATAAGGATAACATTTTACAGTTTTACAAATCTCTTATAAATCTTAGCTAACCTTTATTGTCATTTTTTACTGTGGGCACAGTGGCACACATTAAAAATGAAATTGTTGCCTGCTATCAAAAGTGTACAAATAACACATCTACACACACGTGATATACATACATATAAATACATATATTAATCACTCCATCTTGAATACGTATTGGAAAGAGGAAACTTGAGAGTTCACAAGGTTGATAATATATGGAACAAAGGAGAGGTTCAACCTGGAAATAAGGAGAAATTTTCTGACAGTGAGAACAATCAACCCGTGGAACAGAAGTTGCCTTCAGAAGTTGTGGGAGCATCATCACTTGAGACTTTCAAGAAAAGACTGGATTGCCAACTGTCAGAAATGGTGTAGGGCTTCCTGTTTCACCAGGGGGTTGGACTAGGTGACCTACAAGGTCTCTTACAACTCTGTTAATCTGTTAAAAAATTGGGGGGAATTAGGGGGAAAGGGACACGGGGGAGGATAGGGTGTTCTTTGGGGTAAAATCCAAAGCTGCGGTGATGACTTTCTTAGGACACCTTTGGATGTAAATAATGAAAATTCTATGAATTCTGAGCAGCTTTTTTCCTGCAGCAGCAGCAGCATAGGAAGGCATACATTTCAAGTCTGAAACATTGTTTTTTTCCCCCCAACTTTTGCCTAGGTGAGCTTTGAAAATGGTCCGCTACTCACTTGACCCAGAGAACCCCACAAAATGTAAGTAACTTTCTCAAGAGTTAATTTGATAGGTTTCAGTCACAAGATTTAAAAAAAAAAAAGTTTTAACTTTTGCTTGTTTTCTTCTTGTAGCATGCAAGTCCAGGGGTTCCAACCTTCGGGTCCATTTCAAGGTATGTCAATGGGGTCTTGCCTCTGGCAGGAGATGGAGTGGTTCGAAGTGTATACAGGTAGTCCTCAACTTAGAACAATTCATTTAGTGACTGCTCAGTTACAGTAGCACTGAAAAAAGTGACTGATGACCTTTTCTCACACTTAACGACTGTTGCAGCATCCCCATGGTCAAAATTCAGATGCTTGCCAACTAATCAGGATGGTTGCAGTCTCCTAGGACCGTGTGATCAATGTTGCAACCTTCGGACAAGCAAAATCCATGGGGTCAATTGTGCCACTGACTTAAAAGTTAACAGTGGCGCTGAAAAAAAGTAACTTATGAACCTTTTTTCACATGAACCTTTTTTCGCAGCACCCCCATGGTCAAAATTCAGATGCTTCACCAACTGGCCAACCATATTGATGATGGTTACAAGTCTCCCAGGATCACAGGATCGTCTTTTGCAAGTGTCTAGCAAGCAAAGTCGATAGGGAAGCCAGATTCATTTAACAACCGTGTTATTAACTACTGCAGTGATTCACTTAACAGCTGCGGCTAGAAAAGTGGTAAAAATGGGCCAAAACTTACTTAACTGTCTTAGCAAGGGAAGCATTGGGCTCGATTGATTGTAAGTCGAGAACTATGTATATTTTGATGGGAGTTCATTGCCTTAGATCAGGGGTGTCAAACTCAAGGCCCGTGGGCTGGATCCAGCTGTAAGGGTTCTTAGATCCGCAGGGTCACCCTGGAAACAGCGAAGGACTGGCCTGCGGTGCCTCTGCCAGGGAAAATGGAGCTTGCAAGGGGGCTGTGCGTGGCCCTTCCGAGCTCCATTTTTGCTAGCAGAGGGTTGCAAGAGGCCATCGCATCCAAAAACGGAGTTCATGAGGACGATGTGTGCACCCCGTGGCCGTCCCCCCCCCCCCCCCCGCCCCATTTTTGGAGGCAGAGGATTGCAGACCGTCCCAGCCAAAAACAGCTCAGGAGTCCCTTTTCACTGGCAGAGTGGTCGGGCCACCACGGGCACCTCCAACACGTCATTCTGGCCACGCCCACCCTGGCCCCCTGAGGTCAAACACAACCCTGATGCGGCCATCAGTGAAATCAAGTTTGACACCACCACCACCTCCGTCTCGGGAGTAGTAAGTTTCTAATTCCATTCTCGTTTGCCAGAAGGCCTTATGCTCCCTGACCATGGAGAATCTTCACTAATTAGCAGCCCTGATTTTTGTTCCCCAGAGATCTCAACTTACTACCCCCAAAATTTTGTTGCTAAGTGAGACATTTTAAGTGAAGTTTGCCCCATTTTATGACTTTTTGGGCCACGGTTGTTAAGTGAAGCACTGTAATTGTTAAGTTAGTAACATAGTTGAGTGAATCTGGCTTCCCCATTGACTTTGCTTGTCAGAAGATCACAAAAAGTGAACACGTGACCCTGGGATGCTGAAACCGTCATAAATGAGTCAGTTGCTAAGCATTTGATTTTTTTTTTAATCATGACTATAGATCAGGGGTGGGCAAACTTTTTGGCTCGGGGGGCCGCATTCACTTTTAAAATTTGACAGACGGGCCGGGTCAGCACAAGATTTTTTGGGAATCGCCCCCCCTTCCCCCCCTTCTTCTCCTCCTTCCCCTCCCCTCGGAGGCCCCCTGAGTCAGGAGTTGCTACTGCCGGCACGGCTCCACGCGGCTCCAGTCCCACGTTGCCTCGGGAAGGGAAAGGCAAAAAGGAAGAGCCGCGGCGGTGCTTTGCAACAGCAGCAGCGGCACCGGAGGTTCAGGCTCAGCGGCTCCTGGTTTTGCCTTTCCCTTCCCAAGGCAACGCGGGACTGGAGCCGCGCGGAGGTAGCAACTCCTGACAGCCCCAGCCGGACACCTGAGCAGAGCCCGGGCAGAACTGCCTGTTGCTGCTGCGGGCGCTGCTGCGGGCATCTGGCTGCCCAAGTAAAGAACCGCACCAGCTCAGGGCAACTGTGAGGAGCAAGAGGGGAGAGGCAGAGAAGGAGGCAGAGAAGGAGGAGAGCACCTGGCCAGTTGGGGGAGGCTTCTTGTGCTGCGAAAGAGGCGGCTAATGATCTCCGGCTCCACTCTGCTTCTCCAACATCCGGTGCTGCCCTGTTCTGTGCGCCGGCTGCTCGGACTTGCTGGGCCTGACACAGAACAGGGTGGCGCCGGATGTTGGAGAAGCAGAGCGGAGCCGGAGATCATTAGCCACCTCTTTTGCAGCACAAGAAGAACAGGGTGGTGCCGGACCATTGGAGAAGCGAAGCAAAGCCGAAGATTAGTAGCTGCCTCTTTCGGCGCAGAAAGCTTCCCCCAACCAGCCGGCTGATCTCCTCCTTCTCTGCCTGTTTGTTCTGTATGGCCGAGGAGGAGGAGACCAGCTGAGAAGCACACTGCCAGGCGGGGGCCACGCGGTGCAGGGCAATACGCCACCGCCCAGCCCTGGCTTGGGAAAGCAGTGGGCGTTCCCCGGGCGGTGGCCTTGGCCCCACTAGCAGGGAAGCAGCTGCCCAGCTCCGTGTTGTGTGTGCAATTTTTTGGCGCGCGGCGCGGGGTCTCTTTTGGCCGGCCCCAATTTTTTTTTCAGAGGGGAATATTTTTTTTTCAGAGGCGGGCCGTATTAAAATGACCAACGGGCCGGATGTGTCCCGCGGGCCGTAGTTTGCCCACCCCTGCTATAGATAGTGCAATGGTCATAAGTGAAAAACGGCCATAAGTCCCTCTTTTCAGTGTTCTTGTAACTTTGAAAGGTCACTAAGTGAATTTTTGTAAGTCGAGAACTTCCAGTAGATGGGATTTTCGGATATGGATATTCAGTTTTTGTATTTGGAAGGAGGCAAGGCTACCACAGCAATGGTTCTTCCTTTTTTTCCCCCTTTTGCTATTGCTTTGGTTACTTACACTTTCCTTATATCTTCCATGATTGTTGTTATTTGGGGGCAAAATAATTGGAGCAGTGCTTAAGGCGCTGGCCTAGAAACTGGGAGATTGTGAGTTCTAGTTTCACCTTAGGGATGAAAACCAGCTGGGTGACTTTGGGTCAGTCCTTCTCTTCAGTTCAACCCATCTCCACAGGATTGTTACAGGGAGAGAAAAGAGGAGCGTTAATGTATGTTTGTTGCCTTGAGTTATTTATAAAATAATAAACGTGAGGTAAAATTCTAACAAAATAAAAATTTGTCTTAATATTACACTTCCTTAATTGATTTTCTTATGGCTGGGAAGGCAGTTAAGGCAGATTCTTGGATTGCCTGTTTGAAATTCTTGGGATCAACTAACATGAATGATTGTTTATTTAAGGCACAGGGAGGAACATATATCGTAACTGCAGTGATGACCAGCTTAGGACACCTTTGGATTTGTCATGAAAACAGTTGCACGGGATCTGAGCAGTTGCTTAACAAAATAATTTTACACTTATTCTACAATATTATTTGGGGGCTTTAAGGTTACAATGCATGAAACATTAAATGCATCATAACAGGTTTAAATGCAAGTAACTAAAATTGAAATGGAATGCAGTGGTCATTTAGTCCATCCCTCAGTAGTACAGGATTTACTAGAATATCTCTGACAGATAATTCCCCAGCCTCTTTTTGAAGATCACAGCAAAAGTGAATTCACTGTTTCATGAGGCAGCTTGTTCCACTGACTGAGAGTTGGCAGTCAGAATGTCCCTCCTGATACCTGCCTTGAACCTCTTTCCTTGGTTTTAATTTAGTGGTTCTGTCCTTGCCATCTGAAGCAATAATGAATATGTATACTCTCTCTCTCTCTCTTTTTTTTTTTTTTTGCTTAATTAAATAAATACGGCCACCCAGCTCACACATAGGAGACTCCAGCTAGCTTACAAAAAGGGTCCTCAACCCCTGGACTATGGCCCACTCTGAGGCCAGGACCCATTCAGAACCGGGCCACACAAGTGGCAGGCGGCCATACGCAGCTCCACTTGCACAGGCACACTCACACACAAACTCCCTTTGTGCACACAAATGGAATTACATGTGACAGCTGCTCACACAAAATCATCTACATACACACCGGTCTGCCAGGCTGGAAAGGTTGGGGACCGCTGGCTTACAGTATTAAAACTCACAATATAAAAGCCTCACCCACATGGCAGCAACAACACAATCAAATTAATCACTTGATCAGCTCTATTTGGGGTTACCAGGCCCACTGAAGAAAAGCCTTTAAAAGGGTGAAGGCCAACTGTATCCAACAAGAAGGATATTCCATACAGAAGAGTCCGCCATTGGAAGGCCCTTTATCATAATCTACCAGATGTACATCCTTAATTGATGGGATGCATAAAATACCCTGCTTTCCCATTCTGGTGGGCTGGGTGAATATACTAAGGGAGAGGGTGTCCTTGTAGCACAATCCCAAGCCAGGTAGGGTTTTAAAAGTGATAACCATACCTTGAATTGTTCCATTTTCTTTAGAACACACGTGAGACTGCCCAAGCTATCAAGGGGATGCACATTCGGAAGGCCACCAAATATTTAAAGGACGTGACTCTGAAAAAGCAGTGTGTTCCATTCCGGCGTTACAACGGTGGTGTTGGCAGATGTGCACAGGTATGACTCTGAAACAGTTTGCGCAGATCTGTGCAAATAGTAAAAATTTCAGGAGAAATTCTTAAAGAGCAATTATTTCAAGTCTAGAGCGGAGAATATTAATAAATGACACTTAAGTGATTCGTATCTTGTTCAGAGATTGGAGTTTTGACATGCTCACAAAGATGCTTGTAGGAAATAGCGGGTATTTCTTTAGTGCAGGGTTTTCCCATCCTTGGCGACTTTTGAGACACATGGACTTCTGCTGGCTGGTGGATTCTGGGAATTGAAGTCCCTGCGTCTTAAAAAGTTTCAAGATTGGCAAACCCTGATTTAGTGCATGTGGTAAAACGTATCTCTGGACTGCATTGTCCTTTGTTTTTGCAGACTTCCATAGTTTATAGCTGGATTCCTGAGCTGGAAAGATAAAAAGCGGACATATTATTTGGATTTTATATAAAACCTTGGTAAAATTAAAGTAGATTCTCAAGTTGTTTGGATGTGATGTATTTGTTCTGTCCTAGGCCTCACCAAAAAGCACTCAGTCAATTCTGAGTCCAGGCAAAAACCTCTTTATTTGCAATAATGTGAATTATTTCATTCACATTCAGCTGCTTGGCAAACCGTCTCACAAAGGTGAGCTAATTATCTCAGACTTGTATCAATCCTGCCCGGTAAATAGTTCCACACTCACTGTTGGCAGGGAAGGCTGGGTTTATAGACAAATCTCCACGAAGCTGGGACAAACAAACGACCAAACGAGCAAGTTGTTTCCTGCAAAAGCCCCCTCCCCTTTTGCTCCTCTTTTAATCCTGATGGGAAGGGCCATTCATCCACCTGTGGCCTTGCTTTTAGCAGCTCTGGTTCCAGCTGCTCCCCAGCCTCACTCCTATCTGAGCCCAAAGGCAGCTGCTGACTGCCAGCCTACCCTGGCCGCATCTCTGCCTCTGATGCAGAGCCCTTGTCCGAGCCTTCCTCAGCCTCCCAAGACTGGCCCAGGTTCCTTCCCAACCTCCTCACTATTGTCCGACTCTTCTGCCAGCCGCCGGTGGGCCACAGCAGTATTTTGAATCTTTTCCGTGTTTGCTCACACGTTTTTAGGGTTGCTGTGATGACTTTCTTAGGACACCTTTGGATTAACCATGAAAATAACCTTTGATTCTGAGCAACCCTTGAAAGTGGAAAGCTTGAGAACATCTTTATTCTGAAGGAACATTGACCTTAACTTTTCTCCTCCTGCAGGCCAAGCAGTGGGGTTGGACCCAGGGCCGTTGGCCAAAAAAGAGTGCCGAGTTCCTCCTGCACATGCTCAAAAACGCAGAGAGCAATGCTGAGTTGAAGGTGAAACATGAAGTGCTGGGTTTTTGTGTAATGTTTAATGATATTGGAGGCCCGCAACCTTTTGGGCACCAGGGACCAGTTCGGTGGAGAGAAAGTTTTCCCGTGATTTCTCGTGCTGCCTGCGTCGCACGGATAGAGCTTTGCTTGCTTGCAGGGCCTGGTTTCTGGCATGCCACGCCCGGTGCCAGTCCACGGACTGGGGGTTGGGAACTCCTGAACTTTGTTGTGACAGCTGGCATTTGCTATCAAGTTAAAGCCAAGGGGTCTCCAAGCTTGGCAACTTTAAGCCTGGTGGACTTCCCAACTCCCAGAATTCCCCAGCCAGCGTTGCTTAAAGTTGCCCCTGAGTTAAAGCAAACCCCAAGGCAAATATAGTTTTAGTATTCTGTGTGAACTGAGTTTCTAGCAAACATTCTCCGTTCTAATGGGAGATCCCCTTCGTTTTGCATTCGTTGGGGAATGGTTAGCAAGGAAGAAAGATGTTCCGTGGGTAATCCTCTACTTACGATCATAATAGAGCCCCCGCCCCTTTGCAAAGTTCTGTTAAGTGAGTTTTGTCCCGTTTTACAACCTCTCTTGCCTCAGCTGGTAAGTGAATTATTGCAGTTCTTATATTAGTAGCATGATTATTCAGGGAATCTGACTTCCCCATTGGCTTTGCTTGTCAGGTCACACTGCGACCGTCATAAATTTGAACCAGTTGCTAAGCATCCAAATTTTGCTCCGACGATCATCGGGGGTCGTAAGCGTGAAAAAGCGTGAAGGTTGTAAGAATGAAAAAATGATCATAAGTCCCTTTTTCCAGCGCCGTTGTAACTTTGAACGGTCACTAAGTGAACTGTGGTAAGTTGAGGACTACCTGTAATCAACTCTGGGCAGCAAAGAGAAACTTAAGAAGGGTGTTAACTGTTTTACAGGTCTTTCTCAGCTCTGGTCTCTGAGATTCTTTCTAACTGCAGTACTTAAAGCTAGGACATCTACAGGTAGTCCTCAACTTACAACTGTTTAGCGACCAAATATACAACAACATTTTTAAAAAAATGACTTGCAACCTATCCTCTTACTCACAACCATCGCCCAACCCAGGATCATGTGATTTCCTAGCCAGCTTCCAACAAGCAAAGTTAATGGGATAAGTCAGATTTGCTTAACAACCACATGATTCACCTAACAACTGTAGGGATTTGCTCCGCTGGCAGAACAGTTTGTAAAAAACTGGGCAGAGCTCACTTCCTGACCAACTTACTTAGCAACAGAAATTCTGGCCCCAGTTGTGGTCGTAAGTCAAAGACTTACCTGTACTTTAGATTTTTGCTTAATGGAGCAGGTGAAATAATTCCAGAAGAGGGTGGCAACCATGTTGAATGGGAAGCAAAGACATATATTTTGTTTATAATACAAAGGAGAAGGGAAGATCTATGTAGAGTAGAAGAGAGTTTAAGGGAAGGATTGTCGAATATGAAATTGAAGGAAAATCGCCACCAGCTACCCTAGGGGCAACTAGGGTCATTTATTGGAATAATTGGCATAAATATGGATCGTACACTACACTGTAATTATGTCATTGAAAAAGTTTTGGTCCTTTTTCTAAGTAATCGACTGGGATTTGAGAAAAGTTATTACTTAGACTGAACTGTTACAAATTGTTGTAAAACGAGCTTTCCAAAACGTTTTCCCCTCCAGGGTCTGGATGTTGATTCGCTGGTAATTGAGCACATCCAGGTTAACAAAGCCCCCAAAATGCGGAGGCGCACTTACCGAGCTCACGGGCGCATCAATCCATACATGAGTTCTCCCTGCCACATTGAAATGATCCTCACAGAAAAAGAGCAGATTGTCCCTAAACCAGAAGAAGAAGTTGCTCAAAAGAAGAAGGTAAGACGCCCCTCTGCTCCCACCTAGATTTGATTGAGAGTCACCGAGAATTTGTTTTAAGATGGACAGATGAATAAATGAATAAACGAACCTTTCCTCGGTATGTGAAAAAAAAGATAAGCCACTTTGGTACATTCAGTAATTAAAACGTGTGTCAGTTAGGAAAGAAAGACTCTTCGACTCAGTGAAAGTGTATTTTTACGAATGCCAAGTGGTTACAGTATAGCAAAGCTGGAACTGAGAGTTTGTGCACCAAAGTTCCCTGGTTAACTTCCTCTTTTCCCATTTTTTTCCCCCTGGCTATCTCACATTGTCCAATTACATTCAAATCGTTTTGGTTACAGCTCCTGTCTTGGCAGCCTGACAATGTTGCCTTCCATTCCAAGGCTCTTGACCTTGGGGCAGCCAGCTGGTGTCACAGGAGGGCAGGAAGAGTAGTTGCGATTCCCCCTTGCCCCCCCCACCCCAACTCCCTCCACCCCCAGAC